AAATTACCGAAAATGCGATTATTTGCGTCCCGGCAAAGCTCTGTTCAAATTTGATCGATAAAATCTTCTGCTAGAGAACTTTGCCTTTGACTGCATAAAAACTTTAGGACCTTAACCTTCCTTAGTTGGTAGCGGAATTCGAACTTTCCCATTTCTTTTACTGTACCTTTGCCTTGTTTGCTACAAACCAAGACAGCGCCAGAAACTGTAGAGTGGTTTATTGCTGAAATGGAAAGCTCTCATGCCGTCTTTGTTTGCAGTTATTCACCACACCGAATTCAGGATTTCAAATATGCTGTTTCACTCAGAACAGGTAAAGAAGTAATTTCTAATGATATCTTCTTTTGCTGATAGTTTGGCTTAGCTCTGAAAACAATTGGTCTAAGTCATATTTCCTTCATGTAAGCAAAAGTCGAATAATGGTGTGGAATAATCACTTCTCTTGATCCAGCGAAGGCCCTCAGTTATGCTATCTTTAAAACAGGGAATGGGGAATTGAGGAATGGGGAATCGAGGAATGGGAAATGGGGAATGGGCTGGGGAATCTTTAAAAGCGGGAATCTTTAAAACGGGGAATCTTGAAAGCGGGAATCTCTAAAATGGGGAATCTTTAAAATGGGGAATCTTTAAAATGGNAAAATGGGGAATCTTTAAAATGGGGAATCTTTAAAATGGGGAATCTTTAAAATGGGGAATCTTTAAAATGGGGAATCTTTAAAAGTGGGAATCTTTAAATCTTTAAAAGCGGGAATCTTTAAATCTTTAAAGGCGGGAATCTTTAAAATGGGGAATCTTTAAAATTGGGAATCTTTAAAACGGGGAATCTTTAAAAGCGGGAATCTTTAAAAAAGGGAGTCTTTAAAATGGGGAATCTTTGAAACGGGGAATCTTTGAAACGGGGAATCTTTGAAACGGGGAATCTTTAAAAGCGGGAATCACTGAAAAGTGAGCGAGAATCTTTCAGCTTCGCACCGAAAGCTATTTATTCTGTAACATGTATCAACTCAGCAAGCACAAACACAGTTGTGGAACTTATTCTCACTCTCTGAGATCCGCTGCACCGACCATCTTAACACCGGACTGAGACGTTTTTAAATTGGGTTTCGCAGCGATAGATATTTGTCCTAGTCTTATCATGTGCTAATGGAAGGACTTACGACTTTACGACAACTATATGGCAAGGAAAACATATGGGTTCTTGGTTTTGTAGACTACGCTTGAATTTCTAAGGTTTTGCGTGACGCGGCATTTACATGATGGGCAGGAGAGCTGTCATGTTGGTTAAAAAAGTAACTTATTTAGGGGAATTTGGCTCTCTGAACAGTTCATTTATTAGAAAAAGTATTGATGTGAAGTATATATGAAATAATTCATATTTGAACTGCGGTAGTAGATGAAAGTGAAGA